ATGCAAACTAATAGTCAACTGAGTAAAATTATAGGTAAAAATCTAGTTCTGTTGTGTTTTAGTCGAATTTGAAAATTATATTTTATGAGTTTAGAGACCTACAGTCATTTTAATAGAGTCCACGAATAGTACTTGTTCGTATTTAAAATGCAGTATTTTAAATTCCATTCCCATCACAGTGACACATTTTATAGATATGAAAGCTTCTGAAAGACATTAATTGACTATCAAAACTTTGGGATAAATACCTAAAAAGTTTAGTCATAAATATAGCAAAACTTAAAGCTTTTTAAGAGTTAGATTACTATACAAAAATAAGAATCTGATTTAGACTGAAACATTTAAAACAACTTTTCAAACATCTTTTATTTTATTAAAAATATTTTATTTCACTTGTATGGGTGTTCTGTCCAAATGTATGTCTGTGTACAACATGTTTACCTTGTGTGCTTGGAGACTAGAAGGGGGCATTGCATCCCTGCAACTGGAGGGGACAGTTGTTAGCTCCTATGGGAATGCTAGCATTTGAATCCAGGTCTTCTGGAAGAGCAACCAGTGTTGTTTAACCCCCGAATCTCTCCAGATTCTGAACATGTATTTTAAATTGGAATCAATAAGCTGACCTGTTACTTCAATATAATAAAATTTATTAAATATCACAAGACCAATTGATATCAAACATACATATCTTCATAGGAAAATACATTTTTTTCCTAGTGCATAATTTTACATTTAATTTAACATCTTTATGGCATTAAAACACACTAATTACCAATAGGAACGATTAACTAATCTCCTACTACCCACGCTAAGTCATGTGTGTATGTGTGTGTGATTTAGGCTAAATACTAGGCGTACTCAGTAGTAGTCCACATCAAGAATTCACACTCCAAGTGTTGTCAGGTCATGTTTGATCAGCGACGTTGTAGTCCAGAGGCAGATTTTGCAAGCAGTTAGCTATCTTTATGTCAGCTAAACACCAGATATTTTGTCTAATTAGTGTAGCGATAATAGAGATGCTTGGAAATAGAAATGTTAACAAAATAGATGGCAGGAACAAGCTCTTGGCGTTCTTGCTTTTACGGACACGCCGTTTGACTGAAACATTTGAGACAATCTCTGTTTTCAGTGGAGAGAATAAAGAACTTGCTAGTTGTTCATTTTGCTCTCTATCTGGATTCTGTATGTGTGACAGAATTTGGTTTGAGTCTTCCTATTAACCCAATGGTGATGCTATGGGTCAATAATTGACAGCTACTGTTTTTATGTTGCTATTTGTTTGTTTGTTTTTATCAAAAATGGACCTGGTGGGTATTCTTAATTAGCTGGATGTGTCTTTCCACGTACTTTTGCTCATAGTTTAAGATGGTATAATGAGAAAGAAGAGGTCTTTTGAAAATATTGCTGGAAGCTGGTTGTAATTGACAGTTCTTAGTCAGGGTTTCTATTGCTGCAATGAAAACACCATGGACCAAAAAGTAAGTTGGGGAAGAAAGAGTTTATTTGGTTTATATTTCACTTTGGTTTTCACTTCATCACTGAAGGAGATCAGGACAGGAACTCAAACAGGGAAGGAGCCTGGAGGCTGGAGCTGATGCAGAGGCCATGGAGGGTGCTGCTTTCTGTCTTGCTTCCCCTGGTTTGCCCAGCCTGGTTTCTTACAGAACCCAGGACCAGCAGCCCAGGGATGGCTCTACCCACAGCGGGCTTGGTCCTCCCCATTGATCACTGATTAAGAAAATGCCTTATGGCTGGATCTTATGGAGACATTTTCTAAATTGAGATTTCCTTCTTTTCAGATGACTTTAGCTTGTGTCAAGTTGACATAAACTAGCTAGCACAACAGCAAATTTGTAACTTCAGATAGAGGTGATGGCTTTATATTAAGGATCTTTAACCATCCACGCAGTGGAGTCTACATGCCCTGTTTTATTAATGTACTCCCTCTGCCCCCTTTTCATTGAATTTTAGCAACTGCTGAATTTGATAGGCTCCTGTTTTTCATCTCGTATGTTTTTAGATGGAAATTATCCTATATTAAAGTTCATTAAATTTTAGGTCTCTCTCCCAAGTCTTCAGAACTCAGCCATGTTACTGGTAATCAATATCAGATTACCAATATCAGATTTGCCATGCGGCAAATCCTAAGTAAGATTGGCTCTGGAATAGCCTGTCTGTGAATCACACCCTCAGGTTGCTGGTGCTCTGTTCTGTGGAGAGAAGTGTCAGGAGCCCCAGCTCCATGGCAGGGCACCAGGCACCTGCCAGTACCAACATCTCCATTCAGAAAACAGTAATTCATGTGGAGGACAAGAGTGAGGGGAGGAAGAGAGGAGAAAATTACTTCTAATGGCTTTGTCCCATTGAGAAGTTTCTAGGCAAAATTATTTAGCAAGGAATGGAAGAGAGCACCAGTCAAAGGTTACTAATCTCGAAGTTTCACTCTACCAATCCTTTAAAACCAAGTGTCTCTGTGGAATCCCATTTTGATGGATTTGACTTTACTAAGTGAATGGTAGTTGTGTCATAACATCTCTTTGCACATTTATTAATCGAAAACCTGCCATGCTTGGCAGTTTCAGCCAAAGCAGAGGAAATTGGGATGCTACTTAGGAATATTTTCCCCACAAACACAATTTTTTCAGCATCATTTAGTATCTTAAAGGAGCCGGGCAGTGGTGGCACACGCCTTTAATCCTAGCACTCGGGAGGCAGAGGCAGGTGGATCTCTGTGAGTTCGAGGCCAGGCTGGACCGACAACCTCCTAAACAATACAGAGAAACCCTGTCTCGTAAAAACCAAAAAAAAAAAAAAAAAGTATCTTAAAGGAAATACAGATGTTCAGGCCTCACACCAAGCTATCCCAAATATATAACGCCTGGTGGCATGCTGCCCGAATCTGTATTTTAGGCACGTATGGTCCTTATCTCTAGGTGAGCCAGATCTCTGAGTTCTTTGATCTCTACTTGAAGTGTACTCCACTCCATATTTTCAAATATCTGAAAGAGCTTTCCAGACCTCCCTCCCTCTGCACTGACTTCACAGTGACTTCAGGTGACTTCAGTCTGTGAACCCCTGCGCCCACCTGCCCGGCCAGTGTCACCAATGTCAATGCAAGCTCAGTTCAGCTGTCCAGCCTAAGGCACTGCTCCGAGGTCTCTGACTCAGGTGACCCTTTTGTCATATCTCTTTCTCTCCCTGTTTATTTAAGTTAACCTCTTAGCTGGCTCTGGGAGTCAAAAGTGCTTTTGTTCTCTGCATGAATGGTTTGATTCACATCACACCAATGTTACTTCAAAGACAGAGACGCCTCTTACCTTCGGATAATCACTCCTTCCTCTTGCAAATGCCACAGCCTGGCAGAAGAAGGACTTCAAAGATTTTGTATCTTAACTATTTCAGAACTCCCCACCCGTTCCTCTCTCTTCTAAAGAAATCACACGCATGCACGAAGGCAATTTCCTGTGTATAATGTTGTATTTCAGGCTGTGATTTACAAATTAGATGTTTGGAAAGCCCAGATTCCTGGATTCTAGTGCTGCAGCCTCTGACTCTGGAGGAGTGGGATGGGGCCTAGGAAACCATTGAATCAATAATTAGCTAGATCTGTGAGTCAACATTTAAGAGGCTGACCCGTGTCCTGCCCGCATCACTTGCCAACAGTTTGAAGATGAAGTGACAAATTCATGGTGTCCTTTCTCTGTCTCTTGCTGTGGGGATGATGGAGATAAAATAAGAGGAAGGAAGCAAAGGCAATTGGCTGCTGGGCATTTGTGGACCTTCCCTGTTTCTCTCTCCTATTCTCTCCTACTCCATGGTCAGTTGCTGTGTGGGTATCTTGCAGTCTGACCATGGCAGTCAGCTTGACTTGTCTCCTTGCCTTGTACACTCTGTTCCTTTGGTTTGGAGTGTGTGTGTGTGTGTGTGTGTGTGTGTGTGTGTGTCTGTATGTGTGCCCACACACACCATATTCTTTCTTTTGCCTGGTGAACTACAAGACACAATTCAAATCTCACCCCCTTTGTGAAGCCTCCCTAACTCCCCAGATTGAGTCAATTCTCTTCTCACCCAATATCCAGTTAAACTTTTGCATTAAGTAAGCATCATGGTGCTGAGAAGTGGATGTGTGCTTATTGCCTGTAATTTATTTCAGATCCACCCCCAAAGATGATGTGATAGGAATGTGTATTATGTAGAAATAAACTTGATGCCAAGGGACCATTAGATAAGTGTCCTGATCAGGGGCAGTCTTAAGAAGTGCTTAGGTGGCATGTCAAAGACCTTACAGTAAATTCTCTGGAAGTATTACAGCCAAATCATTTAGAAGTTAATATCTAACTTGAGATCAAGGGATAGCAGAAATATTTTTCCATGGATGAAGTGAGAGGTATTTGAGATAAGCAAATTGTCCAGAAGTTGGGGTAGTGTGTCCTGCCCTAATAGAAGTGGGACATGAGTATGTCTCTTGGCTGCAGCCCGACGGCCCTCAGGAATGTGACCCAGGGCCAAACCTTCCTTTAGCTGTGCATTCCCTCACTTAAGAGGAGGTGCCCAGATTAGATGGTGAGCTGAAAGCTGCTCCAGGAACACTGTCACATTTGTCCCAGGGAGACTTTCATGGAAGGTCCTGTTCTTTCTGCTCAGAGAGCAGGAAGCTGGGACTTTGCTGAGCTTATAGGGTAGGTTGTGTGACAGTGTGTGTGCCTGGCTGATTGTATCCGCGCTAGTAATACTTGCTCAGCTGGGTTTGTCTGATGCTGGCTCTTCTGAGAACACCCACACAGTGTGAGGTGGTGTGATGGCACCTATGACTTTCACTGACCTGCAGTCTAAAGGTTCAGTGGAGTCCACCAAGAGTACCTCATGCCTATGGATGTCTGAGTTGTCTTGAGGCGGCCTTCTTGCTCATGTTTGTATAACTGATACTTTTTCTTGGAGTGGTTACTCAACAAAAGGTCGTTTTGCCTTTCATTCATTAAAATTATAAAATAAACAAAAAAGCAATCAAACACTCTTTAATTGTTTCATAGAATAATCTGCATAAGAATTTTCATTTAAGCAGAGTGGTAACAGTCAGTTTTGTTCTATTAATTTATATACAACACTTATACACAGTAACGAGATAGTGCGTGATAATTTGATATGTGCTTACAATGGGTATAATAGTCAAGTCAGTGTCATTTACATTTCCATATTTTATTTATATCTCTGTGCTGGCAGCATTCTAACTCCTCTCTTTTAGTTCTTTGAAGATACAACAACAACAACAACAGTAATAATAAACTGTAGTCACTGTACTGTGAACCAGAATGTATTTTCTCACTTAACTGTACTTTTCCACTTATAAGCCAGGCTCCATGTTTCTTTTTCTCTCTAGTGACCACTATCCTACTCTCTACTTCAGTACAATCAACATTTTTAAGGTTTCACTTACGAGGAAGAACATTAATATTTGTCTTTCTGTGTCTAGGTTATTTTGCTTAGATGTTTTACATTTTATTTTGTGTGTATGGGTGTTTACATGTATTTCTGGGTATCACTCGTGTGCAAAGCACATGTGGAGGCCAAAGGAAGGCATTGGATCCCCTGGAGGTAAAGATGGTTATGAGCTGCTGTGTGGGTGCTGGGAATTGAATCTGTGTCCTCTGGAAGAGTGGCCAGTTCTCCTAACCACGGAGCCTTCTCTCCAGTCCCTTATAAATGATCAAGGTTTGAATACTAGCAGCTTTAATTCCTAAAGCCTGATAAGTTGGACAGACTTTGAATCCAAATTATTAATACTAGCTATAGATGAAGCCAAAGCTTTTGATGAAATACACTTAAAAATGAAAACATAAATATGCTGAAAAACCGCTTTATGGAATGAATGTCTTATTACCTCTCCTCCCCAAATGACTTCGTGATGCATCTGATTTATCTTCTCATTTCATACATCCCGAACAAAGGAAGCTTTAAGAATAGCTCGTGGAAATGCAAACAGTGCTGTTCATTTTTCAACACTGTCAAGAAATTATAAGCTTAAAGAGCTCTGCCATTAACCGTCTGTCACAAGCAGTGCTGGATGCAGTGGCTGGGCTGGGCTGCACACAGTGGCTGGGCTGCTCACAGTGGCTGGGCTGCTCACAGTGGCTGGGCTGCACACAGTGGCTGGGCTGCTCACAGTGGCTGGGCTGTTCACAGTGGCTGGGCTGTTCACAGTGGCTGGGCTGCTCACAGTGGCTGGGCTGTTCACAGTGGCTGGGCTGCACACAGTGGCTGGGCTGTTCACAGTGGCTGGGCTGCACACAGTGGCTGGGCTGTTCACAGTGGCTGGGCTGCACACAGTGGCTGGGCTGTTCACAGTGGCTGGGCTGCACACAGTGGCTGGGCTGCACACAGTGGCTGGGCTGGGCTGTTCACAGTGGCTGGGCTGCACACAGTGGCTGGGCTGGGCTGCTCACAGTGGCTGGGCTGCACACAGTGGCTGGGCTGCTCACAGTGGCTGGGCTGCACACAGTGGCTGGGCTGCTCACAGTGGCTGGGCTGTTCACAGTGGCTGGGCTGTTCACAGTGGCTGGGCTGCTCACAGTGGCTGGGTGGCGCAGGCTGTTAAGCATCTCCAGGAACATTGCTCACTGAAACTGCTTGGAAAGATGATTGAATGTTACTTAAGAAGAACTTTACACACAATAAATAGTACATTTGCAGACTGCTGAGAAAATTGATGAAAAGGATAATGTTCTATTTTGGACTCTAAACAAAAGGCAATCAATTAGTAGAAGCAGTTTGAAATACAGAGAGGCTATGCCTAGCAACAACCCCCCCACCTCGCTGAAAGCTTGCAGCCCAGGCTGTAACAACTGCTCCTGGACTTGGCAGAGCTATGACTCGGTATCCCCACAGCACAGAGGACAGTTAGAACATGGAATCCATTTCCAGACTACTATCCCCTCCCAGGGCTGGGTTTCATCGAACCCATTTTCCTTTTGTTACCTGGCTTCAATTTTAGGCTACGTTTCAATTTCCCCCTGAATTTGGAACCACATTCTGCCAACATTTAGGGCTCCCACCCACCATCACATGTTTTAAATGATCTTAAGAGCGATCATTAATGGAAATGCTAAGGTGTCACTGACTTTTGGAACGAGCCTTGTTCCTATTATAAGGAACTGTCAGACAGGATTGTGCTTTGCTGTGAGCTTTGATAGATGGTCTCAGACATCAGCAGTTAGCTCACCATTTCAGTTACGGTCTGGATAGTAAATATTCTCTGTAGGCCATACACTTTCTTGTGACGTTCCCCAAACAGCCATAGACAACATGTAATGTGTAGTGAATGAGTGTGACCATGTTCCAATGAAAGTACATTGACAAAAATGGCGGCCGCCCCAATTGTATATTAAGGGACCAAAATTACTATGGAATTACTCATGCAAAAATAGTATGACGGCAAAGGCACACATTAGTAAGACTAAACCATGACGTCACAGGTGATTTCATACTATACACTGCATCAGAAAATTAATGTTTTTTTTTCTTTTTTTATGTCACATTTTTTTATTTTTATTTTTTTTAATTTTATTTTCCAGTTTAAATTTAGATAAGAAACAAGGTTGCTTCACAAGTCAGTTCCAGGTCCCTCTCCCTTTCCCTCCCCTCCTCCCGTGCCTTCCCCCCAACCCCCCCCAGTTATCCCCTCATTCCCCCAGGGAGGGTGAGGCCCTCCATGGGGGTGTCCATAGTCTGTCATTTCATATAGGGCAGGGCCTAGACCCTTCCCCAAGAGTTCAGGGTGAGAGTGCACCTCACATTGTTCTATGGGAGTCCAAAGTCCGTGTGTATACTTGGGATGGGTACTGATCTGCTGCCCAAGGCTCAATAGATTCCCTAGGCCTCCTCACTGACACCCAGATTCAGGGGGTCTTGATCAGTCCCATGCTGGATTCCCAGGCTGATGCCTGGGATTCAAGAGTTAGCCTTTGTCTGGTCAGCTGTTTCTGGGGGTTAAACCAGCCCAGTCTTAATCCCTTTGATCATCAGTCCTCCCTCTCTGTTACTGGCTTTCTTGAGTTCAGCTCAGTACTTAACCAAGGGAGTCTGCCTCTTCTTCGATCAGCCACTAAATGAAGTTTCTGTTTCCCAGACTCCCCAGATCTATGTCTAAAATCCATATATGAGAGAGTACATGCCATGTTTCTCTTTTTGTGACTGGGTTACCTCACTCAGGATGGTTTCTTCTAGTGTCATCCATTTGCCTGCGAATCTCATGATTCCATTACTTTTTTCTGCTGAATAGTACTCCATTGTGTAGATGTACCACATTTTCTCTATCCACTCTTCGGTTGAGGGATATCTAGGTTGCTTCCAAGTTCTGGCTATTACAAATAAAGCTGCTATGAACATAGTGGAACAGACATCTTTGTTGTATGAATGGGCATCTTTTGGATATATGCCTAAGAGTGGAGTTGCTGGGTCTTGTGGTAGGTTTATTCCCATTTTTCTGAGGAATCTCCATACTGATTTCCAAAGTGGCTGAACCAGTTGGCACTCCCACCAGCAATGGAGGAGTGTCCCCCTTTCACCACATCCTCTCCAGCATAAATTGTCATTGGTGTTTTTGATTTTAGCCATTCTGACAGGAGTGAGATGGTATCTCAGAGTTGTTTGATTTGCATTTCCCGGATGGCTAAGGATGTTGAGCACTTTCTCAAGTGCCTCTCAGCCATTTTAGACTCCTCTATTGAAAACTCTCTAGTTCTGCAGCCCACTTTTTAATTGGGTCCTTTGATGTTTTGGAGACTTGCTTCTTGAGTTCTTTGTAAATTTTGGAGATCAACCCTCTGTCAGATGTGGGATTAGTGAATATTTTTTCCCATTCTGTGGGCTGCCTTTTTGTCTTGCTGACTGTGTCCTTTGCCTTACAGAAACTTCTCAGTTTCAGTAGGTCCCATTTATTAATTGTTGATCTCACTGTCTGTGCTACTGGTGTTATGTTCAGGAAGCTGTCTCCTGTACCAATTTGTTCAAGGGTACCACCCGCTTTCTCTTCTAAGAGGTTCAGTGTGGCTGGATTTATATTGAGGTCTTTGATCCATTTGGACTTAAGTTTTGTGCATGGCGATAAACATGCCAGTAATGTTTTTTTTTCTTATAGAGGAAATCAGAAGTCTTAGACAGAAGTCAATTTTTAAAAACGCAAGTACTGCTTTGTTGAAGCTGAGGGTTGTCAGTTCTCTTTAACTACCTTCAATTAAAGCATCCACTCACTAGAGTGACGGACACTCGCCATTCCTCTGCCCGAATGATGACCTGAGCATCACACCTCGTGAAATGGTCAAGTTGTAAGCCACACTGTTGTCACTTGGTCAGCTTCTAAGAAAATGATTCCAAGGTATTGCTCTGCTTATGTTATCATCTCTAGGGGTGACTCAGGCGATCAGTGTGCAGACAAGACAGTGACAACACTGTTTTAGCATCTGGAAAAGTATGGGAACTTCTGCATCTGGAAAGCAGATGTAAAAGCATCAAGCATCATTAACCACCCCTTACATACTTGGATTCTAAGGTAGTTGGGCACACACACACCTGTAGACATACAGTTGCTTTGAAGGCTGAGGCCAGAGTCTTTAGCCTGGAAGTTTGGGTCTAGCTTGGGTCTTATTTCTTAAGCAAGCAGACAGACAGACAGATGGCAACCAAGCCTTGCCCCATCTTAAAATCAGATTCTCAAGTAACAGGGTCTCCGGGAGAATCACACATATGAAAGTTTGGAAACAAGCCCTGGTTTGAGTCCAAAGGATTTTGCTATCACCTCTGAAACTGTAGGCATAGCTAATGACAGTTTGGCTTGTTCTTCAATTTGTGTACTTGGCCATAATTTCAATTACATAAGTGTTATATAACTGATGAACTACTGGGGCATAAAGCGAACTATTCCATGAAACTAACATGGGAATTTTAGAGAACAACAAGGGTGAATTGTGTAAGACTGCCTGCCTGATGGGGTATGACAGTAGACCATAAGCTGTGCAATTCTAGACTGAATTTGCAGTCATCTTACTTTATACACAAGTTCTTTTAGGAGTGGAGGGGTTTGGTGGCTCACACCAGTAATTCTGGCACTTGGGAGGTGAGGCATGAGGGTTGTTATGAATTAAAAGCCAGCCCAGGATACAAAGTTGAATGCCATTCCAGTTTGGGGCTATAGAAAGAGATTTTGTTGCAGAAAATAAAGAAGACAAACTCCAAATTGACAAAGACAGGACTCCATTCTGGCTCCCTAGACTGGGCTTGCATGAGAAGGGTTGTTTGAAACTCTACTTGGCAAATCTATAGTCTGAAAAAGTTTCACTCTGTACACTGGCACAGGCAAACACAAGTCCTAACATAAAACATTTTATAGGTTCAAAATATGGACCTTTTATTATATTTCATTTTATTTTGTTCTTACATTTAGTGATATTTTCATTCACTACTGCCCTGGGTCACACTGGATATGAAAACTGCCACTACTGCTGTTCGGTTCCCCATTTTCTCTCTTCATAGTATAGCTGATCTTAATCCATAGAGGTTAATCCTGGACTTCTGGATTTCACTGACAACATTCACAAGTGTTTGGGGGAGTCACATAGAGTCTGCCGCTCACTACACCAGTGGTTCTCTTAATGCTGTGGCTCTTTAATACAGTTCCTCATGTTGTGGTGACCCTCAACCGTAAAATTATTTTCATTTCTACTTTGTAACTGTAATTTTGCTACCGTTATGAATCGTAATGTGAACATCTGTGTTTGCCGATGGTTTTAGGCAACCACTGAGAAAGGGTCAAGACCCACGGGTTGAGAACTGTTGATGTAGATCAAGCAGGCCTCCAACTCACAGAGAGCTGTCTGCCTCTGCTTCCCAGGGCTGCCATTAAAGAGATGCCCTCCCCGGGTCATGGCCTACGGATTGAGATCCACAGCACTAGACCCACAAAGGGGACTGTTGGGAAAGCAGCCCTGACACATCACTTACAAATCTTTCCAGAGAGGAATCCTAGCATAGGACCTCTGACATTTCTTTCCCACGCTTCTACTTAGGGGGGGTCCTGACAGCATATTCTTCGCATTGTGGTAACTCTAGAAGCATTTATCTCAGAATGTTATAGTTATTATTTGTCTGTCATCATTCCTGAATCATGAACTGGGTCCTCCATGCTATATGTCATATACCTATGATGGTACTTGCTACAAAGTTGTAAGGCAACGGTTACTTGAAGAATGAATGAATGAATGAATGAATGAATGAAGATTTGACTCATATATATTTATGTGAAAGGGAAAACAGAACTCACTACAGGAAGTATACTGTTCCATCCCTAGAGAATTCTGCCTGAATATTTTATGCTGAATTGCCAATAAGGTGGCAAGACACATCAGTGATGAAGCCCTGTAGGGCTGGCCACAAATGCCTGCATGCTTTGATTGCTTCTCCATCGTGAGTCCATTTGTTGTAGTAGACTTAATTAATATTGATTTTGAGAAAGAGAATTTCTGGATAACAAAATGAGTTTAACTGTTTTTACTCTGGTGTATTTTTGCTGAATATTTTGTTGTAGCATATCACAAAGCCATTTTTTTTTATTAATTTGACCAAAGGAAATTTTTTTACCAATACAAGAAATTTAAAAAAAGCCCATAACATTCTGTCTTGCTGAACTAATAGAAAATAATAGCTATAAAGCAAGAGAAGTGTTTATTACATTAGAAAAGATAGTAAAAAGACCTGTATTTGAAATTATGTAAGTTATTGTTTGTCTTTTCATTAAACATCACGAAGTGCCAGTAATGTGTGTTCATTATAATTAATCATAATGCCTTTTTAATAATACTCTTTTATAAATCTGAATTTTAGAAACCATAATATGGGACTTTTCAGGAGCAGGATAGCAATCTTAGTACCAAGACCCCCATAATGCTTGCATTTACCCTCCTGCGACTCCACACGAATGAAGTTGGGAGCATTTATTCACATATAATCTTGCAGATGCTGCTGCTAATTTGTTAGCTAACATTCTGGCCTTCACAAATGAACATGGTCATTCTGGTTTTTGTGTGAATGGAACATGAGGGCTAGGATGCTTTCCATATGCTGTCTCCCTGCCTTCCCTTAGTAGGGTCCCTTTGGGACCATTGCAGCATAGCTACTGAAGGTTGGCACAGCTAGCTGTGAAGCCAAGCAAGCTGGCTGAGCCTCGTGGGCATGGACCTAAGCTCAGCCCTTTGGAACCCTGTCTGTATCCTTGTAGCTAAAGTCTCAGGTGCAGCCCCTTGGCCTGCTTTATAGACAGTGGGGCTTTCTCATGAAGACACACAGTGCTGTTAAGAAACATCTTGGCACCTAAATGTTCTTCCTTTGCTGTATTGACTCATTGTGATTTTTAATTTAATTATCTTCCTTTAGATTAAGAAAATAATTCTGTCTAATAAGGAAAAGTTCAGGGCTGGCAGATTCAATGCCAAATTCCACTAAACCTTTAATAAGAGTAAACACCAAAGCTTCTCAAACCATTGAATAAAATACAAAGGGAAGGAACCGTGCCAAATCTATTTCATGAAGGCAGCGTTACCTTGTCACCTGAACTGGGTAAGGCTACAACAGAAAAACGAAACTGTTGATCAACCTTCCAAATAAACCTAGATGTGAAAATTCTGAATAAAATTCCCAGCAAACCAAATCTAAGAACACATTAAGAAAATCATACACTATGGGCACATTGGTTTCAGGGTTGTGATGCAAGGTTGGTTCAGCATACACAAATCACTAACTGTCATACGTTACACAAATACAGGGAAGGAAAACTCATGCAATCATTTCAATTGATGCAGGAAAGACTTTGAACAAAGCTCATAAGCCCTTTGAAATAGAGACCCCAGAGATTCAAGAAGACGGGAAATACACCCCGATGTGGGCTAAATATGACAGACCCACACCCAACATATACCAAAAGCATATTCTCTAAAATGTGGAAACTGTTCTGCTCTTCCTTAGGATAGCACTTGAAATCTTCTGTGGGCAACAAGGCAAGCAAAAGAAATGAAAGGGATTCAGACAGGAAAGGAAGAAATAAAATTCTCTCTACATATGGACATGATTTTAAAAGGCCGTGAAAACTCCATCAGGAAACTTCTAGACACAATAAACAATTTCAGCAAATAATGCAAAATTAACATACAAGGAACATAAGACAAAATGAATGAACAAGGAACAAAGTATAAAATTAACATATAAGGAATATAACACAAAATTAACACACAAGGAACATAATACAAAATTAACATACAGGAAGCATAATATAAAATTAGCACACAACATTAGTAACTTCTCTACATACCAACACGGAACTTGCTGAGAAAGGGAAAAAAATCCATTCACAGTAGGCTAAAAAGAAAGAAAGAAAAAGACCCACCCAGGAATCAACTAAGAAAACAACGGCCTGTACAGTAAAAACATCTAAGACAACAAAAGAGACAAATTGGAGGAAGCAGTAGAGGAAGAAATGAGTATGACCTCCCAGGCTCACGATTGGCAGAATTAATATTGTGAAAATGGCTATATTACTTCAAGCAGTTTACAGATTTCACGCAGTTCCTATCAATCTCAATGATATTCTATAAAAAAATATGGAAATCCCTAAAATTCATATGGACATACAAAGACTCCCAAATAACCAAAGTATCATGTAACAGTAGATAGAGGTACCACAAATACCTGATCTCAAGCTGTATTACAGTCATAGAAATAACAAACGCCCCAGCATATAACTGGCACAAAATAGACACATAAAACAACAGAAAAGAGAAAATGAAGGTACAGCCAGGTTATTTTTGAGAAAAGAGTAAAACACGATTTTTGGAGAAAAGATCGCTTCCTTGAAGTGTAGAAAAACTGAATTTCCACATGGACAAGAATGAAACTCCATATCTCTCACACAATGCACAAATTGGATGGGATATCTTAATTAAGGGCCTGAACTTTAAAACTTCTAGAGGAAAACACAAAAAACACTTCAAGATAGAGGCAGAGGCAAAAGACTTTCTAGAAAAGGCTGGAATAGCACAGGGAAAAGTGAACTTACTTGAAATTAAAACACTGTCACACAGCAAAGGCAAAATGTACAGAGTGAAGAACAGCCTCAAGAATGGTAGGAAATATTTGCCCTTTATACTTCAGATATGGGATTAATATGTAGACCATGTAAAGAACTGAAAAAAAAAAGCGCGCTCCATATCTCTAAATCAACCAATCAATAAATGGGATCATTTACTGAGTAGTTGAAAATGGTCCATCCACAATCAAAAAAGTGTTTAACATCCTCCTGAGCTATCAGGGAGATGTGTCTGCTCTGAGAGGCCAAGCCACCTCAGTCAAATCAGTGTCTACCATCAAGAAAGCAAATGACAAAAATACTGGTGAAGATGTGGGCAAAGAGGACCCTTTAAACATTTCTGATGGGAATGCATACATGTGTAGCCACTGTAAAATCCAGTATGGGGGTCTCTAGAAGTCTTAGAATAAAATCACTACGTGACCCAGGTAGCATTCTGAATCAACACACCATAGAAATACTAGTTAATCCATGTTTATTGCTGCATTATTCACAATAGTTAGGAAATGGAGCCAGTCTAGATGTCCATCAACAGATGAATAGATAAAGAAAAATGAGATCATGACATTTGCAGGAAAATGAATGGATCTGGAAATCATTTTCAATCATTGCAGATACTAGGTTTAAGTGTGTGTGTGTGTGTGTGTGTGTGTGTGTGTGTGTGTGTGTTCGTTCATGTCTGTGTCCATGAGACGGGAGGAAGAGATCTTCAGGGAGTGTGTAAGGGAGGGTGAAAGCAGAGGGAGGGTCTGTTTGGGGAAGGGGAAGGGTTGGGAAGCACAGAGGACAGAGGAAGAGGGGATGAATTAGGACAGAATATGATGACACATACATATAAAAATTCCATAATGAGGGCCCGAAAAGACGGCCCAATCAAGAAATTGCTTTCCAAGCAAGATTGACAACCCAATCTGGGTTCCCCCACCAAAAAATCCAGGTATTGAGGTGCCAGTCTGTAACGCCAGTGCTGGCAGAAGCAAAAAAAAAATGGCAGAAATCTAAAGCATGCTGACTGACAAGGACTCTAGAAGATAGGTGAGCTTCAGGTTTAGTGAAGAGATCTTGTCTCAAAAAATAGTGACTAAGAAGGACATTGGAAGTCTGTCTCTGGCTTCCACATGCCTGTGCATACCTGTATGCATGCACATACATACACAGACATGTACTTGCAAATATATCGCACACACAAATAAAAATTAAAAATACCATAATGAAATATTTTTAGTTTAAAATAAATCTGAAGATGGAAGATCAACTTTACCGCTTTTTCTGAAGAGCTCAACAGTTCATATCTTCCACACAGGACACCCGTGCCTTTTACCTTCACAATACACAGGACTGATGAGGTCATCTGCTCTGCTGCAGATGAAGCTTTCAATATGGAAATGACCTGATGTGTCCAGCCACTGAGGTGTGGGATTGGTCACAGGAAAGCTGTATTGGGAACTCCAGCCATGTGGTATTAGCCAAGACAAAGACGTGGTCCTATAAACTTGTCAATCAAGCCATCAAGGAGGGGCTGATAGACGTATGCCAAGGAGCCCAGTTCAAGGCTCCCTTGGAGTCTCAGCTGCCTAAAAAAAAATGTCTGTGTGTTGAAGACGGAAGGTAGCTATCTCAGCCAGGCATGCTAGTACATTCCTCTTATCTTAGCACTTGGTTGGCAGAGGCAGGGGAGCTTGAGTTCAGGGCCAGGGAGACACTACATCAATACTGCCACCTTGACCCAAAGACCAGAACAAGTAACTGTGTTAAGCTTGCTATAGGTTTGTCTTTCTTGAAACAATAGCATAGTTTTTGTTTTCATTTCATGATTTTGGTAACTGGAGGTCTACAGAACTCACGACCCTATTGATGAGGAAAAAAATGATGCCTTTTATTTTAATTCCCATTGAGTCATCTAAAGCTTATTATGTGTTAAACACTGTACTTAATACTCAGGAAGTAAGATAAAGAGGCCGAGAAGGTCCCTAGTTCTATGAAGCCCATTGCTCTGGATTTAATGTGACAGTCTAAGAAAAAAGCAAATGTGCAATTACAAAAGAGTCTGTAACCATAGTTTGTCAAGGCAGTGGCATCCAAGGCAATAACATCTGAGATCTGTGCTGATGATAGAGCAGGTCTCCCTGAGCATCTCAGGGAGAGACCAGAATTCGGGTGCCTACCTAGGGTACCTCCGCAATTCTGACATGGAGGCATCAGCTGCCCTGTCTGGATGCTACCCCTTAAGAGATGTCTAGAAGACAGGTCGACCTTTCATGATGCTCTTCTCTGTCCTTTGCTGAAGGAGGCAAAGTTGAATTTTCTAAGCCATTCACTACCTAAGCCAATAATTGTTCCCAGTGCCCCAAGGGTAAAGTTCCAGACTGTGGACTGTGTTCTTTCTAGAGTGGTAATGGTGATCGGCTGTCACCTTTACAACTTTATGTGCTGTAAAATTTAATGGAAAATGTGCCCCTTCAGTGAAACCAAAGAAACCCACAAATGGGATAGAGAAAAAACACACTGTTACTATGGTAATGGCTTTGCATTGGCAGCTGAAGAAAATCATTTAGCAAAGTTATAAAACTGTAGTAAATATTGGACAGCTTTATGGAAATGTAATAAACTGAAGCCATACATCACAATGCACTAAAGCTCATTTTACATTTATGGCACATAGCAAAATTATAATGCAGACGAGGACTAAATGACCTATAAATGTTAAGCACATAGTTAAGCATGGAATATGTCAACCAGGGTCTTTGTGGCTTTTCTGGGTAATGCATTCAGGTTAGATGAGAGAAACACTGCCCGTTTCTAAGCCTATGTATAGTGTTCCCTTTCAAAGGCAGATGCAGTGCAAAAATCGTATCCATTTTCTTGTAGATAATCAGGTAAGGTGTAATGGGAAACTTGCAAACCCATGAGCTTGTTTATGAATGTATGAAGGTGAATGCCGGTAGCCCTGTTACCCAGGTATCATTACTGCTCAGCCTGATCCAAATCAGAACTGCATTTTGTGTTGTTTACCACACACTCCACTTTGTGAGAAAACCACAGATTTTCCTCAGGAAACACAGCTGTTGCTTTGTCTGCAAGGAGCTGAGCTTGAGGGTGATTTGGGTAACACCACCCTGGGATAGAAAAGTATTTCAGTTGGAAGGGAGCATTTCTCCCTCAGTGAAACAGGTTCCTCCCTGGCTGGCAGGTTCAGCTCTCCTGCAGAGGATAGGGGAAGAGATATAGGCTTTCAAAGGCACAAGGAGGAGCCATTTCCAACAAAGGAATGGAGGGTGAGTGTGTGTGTGTGTGTGTGTGTGTGTGTGTGTGTGTTGTTGTTGTTGTTGTTACAATGCAATTCTAGCATCTGCTCTGTGACCAGGAGGATACAATTCATAGCATGACCAAAAAAAAAAAAAAACACTAATTAGTAGCTATTGTGTTGTCAAAATACAAAACAACCGAGTCAACCAACCAGGCAAAGCAAAGCCATCCATCTAAGAACTCCATCTACTCAGTCCTTAGAGCTCTTATTTTTCACTCAGTCCTAGGCTTGCAACGGCGACAAGCTGCATGGAGGGTTTCCGTGGTGCTCGTGCGCCAGTTCTCAAATACTCACAAAAGCCTTGCCCACCACCTCCGTCCCTACCGCCTTACCCTCTCTTCATCTCTCCAAGGACAGCATGCAGTGCATACTGTAACTGCGTTTAAAAGAGGCCCGTGGTCTTGTACTGCCAGAAGGGATTATTTTTATTTATTTATTTTTATTTAATTTAGAAACAATCTTATTTTAGTTATCAATCCCAGTTCCCTCTCCCTCCCTTCCTCCCATCCCCCACTACTGACCTCCCCATCCACTCCCCAGGGAGGGTGAGGCCTTCCATGGGTGATCATCAAAGTCTGTCACATCCTTGGGGGGGGGGTGCATAGGCCCTCCCTGGTGTATCTAGGCTGAGAGAGTAGTCCACCATGGGGAATGGGCTCCTCAAGTCCATTTGTGCACTAGGGATAAATACTGGTTCCACTGTCAGAGGTCCCATAGACTGCCCAGGCCTCTTAACTGACACCCACATTCAGGAAGCTTTGTTCAGTCCAGTGCTGGTTTCCCAGCTTTATGACTGGGGTCTGTGAGCTCCCACTTGGTCCGGTCAGCTATTTCTGTGTGTTTCTCCAGTGTGGACTTTATTCCTTTGCTCATCCCTCCTCTCTCTCTACCACTGGATTCCAGGAGTTCAGCTCAGTGCTTAGCTGTGGATTTCTGCTTCTACTTCTATCAGCTGCTGGGTGAAGGCTCTAGGATGGCATTTAAGGTAGTCATCAGTCTCATTATAGGGGAAGGACATTTAAGTTAGCCTCTCCACTATTAAGCAGAAGAATTAAGAGTAGCATTTCTTCAAGAGTATTCTTACACGAAGTTGCTGATGTGGCAGGTGACAAGTACAGGCAGAAAAAAAACCCTTTAATAAAATTAATTACTTGTAAAATGTCCCGGGTGTCTTTTATAAAATTTAAATATGTGCTTGGATACGTGAAGTGATGGTAGGTGAGGCTGTCACCAGGGAGATGATAACAGGGACACCTTTTAAATGTGAGGTGCTAAGAGCTTTGCACGGATCATTTCATTTCATATCTTTACAAGCTTTAAGGTAGGCATTACTGTTAACTGTGTTTTCCAGATGAGGTAGGAGATGGAAAGAATAACTTGCTGAAGGTCATGCAGCAACTCAGTGACTATACTGGGGCTAAACTTCAGTGTATGGAATCTATGAGTCCTGTTATACACTTGTCCGTCAAGCTGAGATCTCTCTGGTTTAAATATTGTCCTGGAGAGGAATCCTTTCAATGGGAACAAAGCTATATCGTTAGCACAACCATAGAGTTAAAAACAAGGGTATAGCCATATCGGTAAGTCCCAGGACTGCTGTGCAGCATGCCTGGGCCGTCACTGGATGTGCAGAAGGGTTACTGCGAGGCTGCTGTGAGGGAGGAAAGCTCAGTGCTGACCTAGACTTGAGAGGTAAGCCGGGAGCTGGGAAGTAAACCCCGGTGTGGAGCTGGAGAGAGGGTGGAGGTCCAGATGGCGGTGGTGGGGATGATGAAAGGTTGGCTGGGAAGGGAAACTGTAAAATCGGAACTCTAGCTAATGTAGTGTATTGAGCCAGGATCAGTAGCCCCAGGGGGAGAAATTGAATAAAAGAAATAAAACATCATCACAGCTTCCACCTTTTTTCGGAAAACCATGGTTAATCATGTTCCCCTTCATCTTTTTTTCCACTCTGCGGAAAAGATTTGTGTACACAGCTGCCTCAAGTCCTATGTGGTCTTATCCCCTGCCCCCAATGTATCCGCATTTTTAATGCTTTTCCATCTTAAAACACTTAATGTGAACAAATGTGTAATGTGTTTCTCTCTTTTGGCTTCAGGTATCACACTGATATCAAGCAAGCATATGTTTCTTTTTTTTAATTTAACTTAAATTAGAAACAAGCTTGCTTCACATGTCAATCCCAGCTCCCTCTCCCTCCTCTCCTGCCCCCCCTTCAACCCTCCCCCAACCCCTTACCAAATCCCCACTCCACCCTCCAAGGAGGGTGAGGCCCTTCATGAAGGATCTAGAAAGTCTGTAATATCATCTGGGGCAGGGCCTAGGCCCTCCCCCATGTGTCCAGGCAGAGACAGCATCCCTCCACGTGGAATGGGCTCCCAAAGTCCATCTGGATGACAGGGATAAATGCTGAGGTCCCAAAGAATGCCGAGGCCTCCTCACTGACACCCATTTTCAGGGGGTCTGGATCAGTCCCTTGCTGGCCTCTCAGCTGTCAGTATGGGGTCTATGAGCTCCCCCCTTGTTCAGGTCAGCTGTCTCTGTGGGTTTCACCCACCAAGTCTTAAGCCCTTTGCTCATTACTCCTCCCTCTTTGCAACTGGGTTTCAGTAGTTCAGTTCAGTGTTTATCTGTGGGTATCTGCCTCTGCTTCCTTCAGCCACTGGATGAAGGCTCTAAGATGGCATACAAGGAAGTCATCAATCATATTATCAGGGAAGGGTATTTAATGTAGCCTCTCTACTATTGGTTAGATTGCTAGTTGGTGTCATCCTTGTAGGTCTCTGGACATCTCACTGGTGCCAGATCTCTCTTCAAACCTATAATGTTCCTTCTATTATGGTAGATTTAAACAATACATATCCACAAATCCAACCCTACAGAAAGTACTGGAAGGAAAACTTCAATCTAAGGAAGGTAACTATGCTCACAAAAACATAGGCAATAGATAATCCAACTTTACTAAAAGACAAAAGAAAAAGGGGGGTAAATCCACAGACAATAACACCACCAACAACAAATAAAAATCAAACAAGAATTAATACTCAATGGTCCTTAATATCCCTCAGTATTAATGGTCTTAATTTGCCTATAAAAAGACACAGGCAAACAGAATGGATATGAAGACAGAATCCATCCTTCTGCTGCA